CCTGTATACAGGTACTGCACATACTGCAAGAGAATGGCATTTAAAGTTTTACCTTGATGTTTCTGTGTGCTTGCTTTGATAGTTCTTTGGTGGGTACTAACACAAGAGCTCTAACACCAGTGCTGGAAGAATTTGTCTGTAAGATTGATTGATATGCATTAATATGTTAAATTGTGGCAAGGGATCCTGTGTGTCAGAGTCTTACTTTTAAATGAACAGACCATACCTGTTTATCTTGTAGGATTCTCTGTATCAGTGGTATTGCATACCTAAATGTATAGAAATAAACAAACCTTACATAGTTGAAATTAAAAAATTAACTAAGATCTACTACAACACATATGTATAGCCTAAAAATAAACAAGGTATACGCCAAAAATGTAACTGATTATAATCTTAGCTAAAAACTCAGCCCTCAGACAACTTACGCTGCAGTTTTGCCAGATCCAGTCTTGGCTCTTGCTAAGATGTCTTTCCCTTCGAGAGCTAAAGGAATTCCTTTTTCCTGTTTAACAGTAAGAATAAATAAAGTAAGAACTTTCTATCGAAACAGAATGTCATTGACACACAAAAGAAACAAATTAGCAGATTAAAACTCAGTGAAACTTCATTGAGCTAACCTGGATTGGAGAAGGTTGTGACCAGTTCAACTTGGCAATAGCCTAATAGAGAAAACATTAGTGAGCGTGAAGATTAAAATGAACGATTCTGGCCTATTTTGATCCCTAAATTATAATTTACCTTGACCAATCGACCGTCTAAACCCATTTCGTGAAAAGAGCAACTTTCATTAATTTCGTCCGCCATGTTGATATTTTGCACGTGAAACGAAATGCGCGCGCATATTCTTCCAGAAAATTATCTTCGCTATTCGCGGGCTCAACTCTCTCATTTTCACCTGTCGCAAAAGAAGGTCTATTCAAATTGGTTTTCCAAAACCGCATCGCAATTTTTAAGTCATACTTATAATTACGAATGACTTACACGTTTAAATATCTTAAGACAGAAACAGAAATAATAAATAGTGTATTGATTAAAATAGCCTTAAAAAATATCCTTCTTCCCGAAACATTTCAAAAAATTCCCAGTTATGATGTGAAATACTTATACTACTTAAGATGTTAACTGTTTGAAAGACGAAAGTGCGACTTCCTTTTTACAACATCCTTTTAATATTAGTGTTTGTGAACAGTAGGTGGCACTTATTAAACCAATCGAATGGAGGAGTTCACTTCTGTGAGATAAACAAACACCGGCCTCCGTGCGCTTGGTTGAATTATCGCCCAAAAGATTACACTTCATTTAAAATATCGCACCAAAGACAAATTTCCATTCCGCGCGTGCTGAATGACAGACAGCGAGTTTCAGAGCGGCGGGTATTTCTTAGGAGTGTGTAGCTAAGACGCGGAAAAACACCGGATTATAAATGTGTTATCACTGTATCACAAGTAAGTCATAGCTACTGTTCTGTGATCGCAAACAGCACTTTCAGTTCTCGTGTTTTTATCAGTATACTTAAGTATTCTGGGTGGGCTAGCATCTGGCGTGTTAGTATTAATTTCTATTTGTATTTTTGGCGTCACTAGTGGAGAGGATAAACACTGGCTCTGACAAGTAACATAGCACAGCACTGGTGGCAAATTTACCCAGCAACTGTGAAGAAAGTCATGTTTCAATTTAATATAAAAGCACCAACACCGATAAACAGACGCAGCCGGCGAGGAAGAGAATTGGCAAAGATCATTAGCATAGACGCTGTATGCTGAAATTGACTTCAAGCGATAACTGAGAGAAAATGACGGCCAATGGAAAGATAAATAAGAACAGAGTGATTCCAGTTCAGCTAACGACGGAAGAAGACGGCGTTATTGAGGAAAACAAGGGTGCGCAAGCATTAGCTTCTACGTCGGTGAATTCTGAGGAGAAGGAAAGCCCCAGCATACAGAAAAAAATACGCATAGTTTCTCCGCTAAAAGCCGTAGGGCAGGCGAAGGTGAACGTGTCAAAATGGAAGAAGTATGCTAGGAGAAGGGCCGATATTTTAGCGTGGCGCGATTATCAGAAAGCGCGGATCGATTTCCCGACCATCCGTGAAAGCATGAGACAGAACCATCACCGCATGAATGCGGCGCAACTGAGCGACTTAGAAGAACTAGTGGAGATAACTTCAGTGCAGGAAAAACACAGAAAAGATGGCGGAGTCAGTACGGTAAGTTCGCCCAGCAGAGCTTTGTTGTATTATTTTGCTAAGCTGGCCGCATCAACCCGCGAAGAGGAAGTGATTGACTTGGAGTTCGTGGAGACGCTTATTGAGAACGGCGCTTGCGTTAACACGGCGGATCGCCACGGACAGACACTCATGCACGAGGCAGCCAGGCAGTGGGATACGTCGGTTGCTAAGCTGTTACTTGAACGAGGTAAGGGAGAAGTGTCTCGAACTAGTACGTGAAATTCAGTTTATTCCACTAAACCTGACGCTAGAAGATAAACGTATTCATGTATTTACTATTAACTAGAGTAGCGGCCAGTTAAAACTGTATACAAACATTCGCAAATGCAGATTCACAAATTGTATTATAAGAATAATTGGTTTTGCAAATATCATAAGATTTCAGAGATAACCAGTGGTTTTAAATAAAGTGAAACGCTAAAGATGTTGAATACCTAAGGTGATGGGGTTTGTTCTTCTTTGAATGCTATAACATTACGAATTTACCAACTGATGGTGATTTTCCAAAGTAGGACTTCAACAAGAAAATGAAAGAATCTAGCCTATCAGAGCGCAGCATGTCACTAACACGAGGGACATTGCATTTTTGGGTCATCTTGCAAAAAACGGCCATGTTATAGTTAGGTGTGAGGATTTTTTTTCTGTCAAATGTATAGATACCATACTAGCCGGTGGACTCACACATAATAATGATAACAGTAATAAATAAGGAAAGCAACAATTTCAGAGCTTTGAAAGCTAGTCACGATTTTCAATTCTTGTCGTCATTTCAATTATTTATTTCACGTAGAAAGGAATTAATATAAGGAAATGATAACCTAAAAAATAGAAGGATATGAAAAGTGTTACCACCAACTGTTTTTAATAAGCAGGGAACAGCAAGCAATTTAAAAAAAAAAATTGTGTTGTGGAATTTAGAATGATCTGAGTCTACCGAGGTTTTACACGATACTTGTGTAAAAGAAGTTCAGCGAAATTCAAAATTTCTTGTTATTTTTAAACACAGCATCAGCTACCGTTTTTAAAACACCCACAGCAAAGATCGAACCCAGTCAATGGAAGTTACGGACTCCGTACATTGGAAGCTTATCAAGCCAATGCTCAGTGGGGCAGATGTTCTGAGACAAACTATATACGACTCGCGTACAATAAGCCGGCTTTTAATGATACTTACTCTTGCTCTATTTTGGCTGAGATTCGCTTGGCATAAAAGTCAACATTGCGCTTGCCTCAGGGCGCCATTTTAACTGAACAAAAATTCAGGTTTTTTTATTTTAGTGGTGCAAGAGGTTTGTAGTTTGATCAAAATATGTTATCGGATGCGTTCTTAAGTAAATATTTATTGCTGTGTTTCTATCACTTTTCTGATGTCTTAATTTTTTCACCTAATTTTTCATTTTCCCTTAAATTTTAATCATAAACGAGCCTGAATCAATCATTTAAAGGTAGCCATCAAAATGAAAACGTATAAAAGTCTTGAAAAACAAATTTAGTAATTTCACCATGAGATGAAAACAAAATTTGTCTGAGATGACAGATGTCCTCGTTCTCACAAAAAGTTTCCTGGAGCAGTAAACAACTCCGAGACAAAACATTACACAGGACTTGCTCTTCCGGAGAAATATTAGAATTACGTAACAAACAACAGCATGTTTCATAAAATTCATGACGATCAGGGCTTGGAATGCATGTAAGCTAATACGCTCCTTTTCGTTTGGTTTTCTAATTCATCTTGTCAAATGAGGTGTGGCAGTTAGCGACCCAAGGATTTACGTCAACTTGATAAAACTGAAGTTACTGAGAAAATATTTTCGGAGAGGACCTCTTGTATATTACACGAAATGGTTCTAAGGTTAATCATTTTGTAGCTTTTACTGCTAATCGTTGAAAAGATAACTTCTCCCTCCCTCCCTCAGATTCTCTCTGAGTCGGTTCAAGTTATTTGTCCTAGAACCCACTTCTCCGATGCAGAAAGACCAACAATCATATTTAATACAACCACACCGTACACGCACGCAATAAGTGTTGCACAGAAGGCTTTTAGCCTTAAGGTTTGCGCTGAAGTGACTGTAGTGGGTGGACTGGTGAAAAAAGCGGAACCAGTTGCGATCCGTTTGCTTCGTTTGATCCGTCTTTTCCCCGTACCGTCCGTAGTACAGAGTCTGTTGTTAAGTTCTTTATTAACCGCTAAGTAAATACTTAAAGCATTACATTATTTTACGTGCGAGGAATATAATTCAAAAACCGCATGGTAACTATGCTTGTTTTGCCTCGTAAATTCGTGAATGACTCAAAAATATAAAGAACTTATATTCGGAAATATTCAGAAATATATGGTAGGAAATATATGCAGCTAAAACCAAAGTTCGTTTATAAATCATTAGAGCCCATGTAGAATCTGAGCAGTGTTTATCTGATCGCCAGATTATCCATAACGCGAACTCGCAACAAACAACGGATGACCGAATGATCATTGTAATTTTTACCTGAGAATTAAATTGGATCAGATCAACTAGTTTCGCCCGCGTAGAGAATTTGGGGAAAATAAGGTATCATTGTTTACTCTTCAGCTGTACTAGGATTTATAGCGCGAGCAGACCGGCGATACTGCTGCTCTATTTAGATTGGATGCTACGAATCGCATGTGTATACCTCGCAGCATTTCAGTCATTTTTCTCCCATTGGATTTTCGAGTATCCAGCTGTACACTTGGCTAGAGAAACCCTGTCTCTGCCGCCTGCCACGCTATAACCTGCAATCATGCAAGCTTTATACTGTCTAGGCTCGATTTCCGCCGCTTTCTCGAGTCCGGTCTACGTTCCTCCCCGAGAAGAGAGTTCGGGGGAGGAGCGTGGGCTCCTTTCCCGAACAGCGGCTGGTAATCGAGCCTATGTACTGTCCTACATGGACACAAAGGATAAAGGAGAGCTTGATCATACTGAAGGACTTCCGTTCGGTATTTAATGCTAATTTTTCTTCGACAGGGGCTTCTGTTAATCAGCCTGACAAATATGGTCGCACCCCGCTGCACGTGGCGGCCGCAGTGGACTATCCAGAGATGGTGCAGTTCCTGGTGCAGAGAGGGGCAGACCTGCACGCCAAGACAGGTAAAGAGTTGCAAACACCTGTACACTTCGCTGCACGAAACGATGCAACGTCCTCGTTGAAAATGCTGATGAAATGTGGTGCTGACATTACAGACAAGGATTTCAAACAGAGAACGCCTCTACAGGTCTGTATTTAAAAACTAGCTCAGATGCAGAAAGCGATAATCTGATCACTTTTCACAAACATATGACAGGGATGAACACATAGTCGAAGCTCATTACAAATTTCGTTCTATAAGTACCTTACTCCCTAATCCGATGGGTCACAGTCCAGTTGCCTCGATACTCAATAGATTTTGAATGTAGCGCCAGTCCGAATGCAGCTGGAACTTGACTAGATGGGAGGAACCAAGACCAAGATTCGGAGGTGGAAACATCTGGTTTGGTACTTCTGTATGTCCATATGTTCATGAATTAACTATTGAGAATAGGGTATTAGAAAAACCTTACTTAAAATACTTAAAATACCTTAAAATACCTTAAATATGGTGCAAAAAGAAGAGAACAGTGGAATGCATATAGACTTGATTTCCCATTCACTTTAAGTTTGACATGGACAATCTGGTGCAGGCAAGGTCATGAAAACAGTTGAAGAGGAAAGAAATTCAAACTTATACCCTGATATGCGTGAAGAAAAAAAAGTCTTTATAATCTAATAATAAGCTAACAAGAAGGAAAAAAATTCGGCTAGGTGGCATGGCTTTCCAGAGCACCTTTAGGGAACCAGTCTTTAGAGCGATGCCTACTCATTAACCACGCATCATAGATAAATCGTTCAACTTATCTCCACAGGTTGCTGCGGAATTGGATCGTTCTGAGACTGCGGGGTTTCTGATTGATCGTTCAGCGGAAGCTGGTGTGGCTGACGACAGTGGAATGACAGCTCTTGTTATGATGATCAGCAAGATGCCAAGTGTGGTAAGTGGAGTTTATCTGTCAAGGGGTCATTGCGTTGTGTTCTTGGTTTGTAAATGAGCTGTTAAGACAACCCGAAAAAATGATGGGGGACATAAGATGACTGACACTAAACTGTACACTTAGCTGTTCGGGAAAAGAGCCCGCGGTCTCCTTGGGGAGGAACGTAGACCGCACTCGAGAGACTTATATTTATACCTTACCTCCATTGACAGTCAAGGCGCCTAACTATACGGACACAGAAACTGGGATGAACCTGTTTTTCATAATAGTTTTGTCCTCCACGGCAACAGCTGAAGTGTCCTTAGTAATATGTTGTTCATCATACTAGTTTTGTATCAGAGTCTAATAATACAGAGCCGGAGTTTACGTCTTTATGTCATTTTCAAATCGCTTATGCATAACTCGATATTAAGATTCTTGTTTTGTTTTTTCATTACAGGCCAAAGAAGCACTAAACCAGTTTTACTCCACTGACCGAGCAAACAGAAAACAATACTTCCACTTAAACTACCTTGAGCCCCCAGTGCCGACCTGCATGAGCAGCGGATGCGCCAAGACAGCACTGGAGGTCATTGTACAACTCAAGCAGTTCGATTTAATTATGCATCCAGTGATACAGAGACTCATCGCTGTCAAGTGGAATTATTTTGGGAAGCGAGGAGCCTGGATCCAAGTCTTAACAAACCTGTTTTTCGTGATAGTCTGGACTGTGCTAGGAATCACTTTACCAAATAACGCAGAAGAACTTTTTGATCCAATCGAGAAGAAATGGTGGAGACTGGTGCTGAGCATCATAGCGGTTTTGATGACGCTTAATGCTATCAGACAGGAAGTCATGGAATACTTCTCATCCAAAAGAGAACACAGGCTTTGGTTAAAATGGCGGGAAGAACAACTGAGGAGCGATCTGGAGTTCTGTCATCCGAGATGGCCTGGGGAGAGGTTGTACCTGATGCAGGAAATTGACTTGTTACAGCATCAAGAACCTTCTTATCTGAAAGACGCCTGGAACTTTGTCGACTGGCTGGCTTATTTCATGATTCTTGCGTCCATAGCAACGAAGTTGATAGCCTATTTCCATGGCGACCCACTGGCAATGATCACACATGTGAATGTTCTATCTGCAACACTAGTGGTGCTCTGGATTCGTCTCATGAAGTATGCGCGCGCATTTACCGCCCTGGGTCCCTTTGTAGTCATGCTCGGTCATGTGATCTACGATGTGCTCAAGTTCGGATTTCTGTTCTTTACATTTTACATTCCGTACGCGGCGTCATTTTGGATGGTGTTTAGTAGACATGAGGTCGAAGGTTACTCCTCCATTACTGACCTACTCTTCAGCATGTTTAGGATGACTGTTGTGGACGAGTATAATTATGATGGGCTCTCAAAAGCAAAGCCCATCATGGCTAAAGTACTTTGTGGTACGTACATTGCTTTCTCAGGTGTGATTTGCCTGAATCTGTTCATCGCTTTGATGTCTGACACCTTTCAAAGGGTTTACGACAATGTCAAGGCTAATGCCGTCATGCAGCAAGCCAGCACCATCCTGACTTTGGAGAAAAATCTGTCCGCTTCGAAACGGCGCGCGTTCACGAATTACATCTACACAAGGTGCAGCCCAGAGGAACTCTACTACGATGATGATTCGTCGGAGGGGGAGGAGAGAGATCTGCAAAGAATGACGCATCAAATAAAAGAGCAAGTTGATCACATTTCTGCGCACATAAGTGAACAAGAGAACGAGAGGAAAAGGAAAGGAAATGCTTCAACTAACGATATACACAAACTGCGTGAAGATTTGAAGAAATTGGAACAACAACAAAGAGCCTTAACAGCGCAGTTTCACAATCAGATAGGGGAAGTCAAAGACATGTTGGGTGATGTTATTCATACTCTAGGCAAACGAAAAAAGAAGAAACATTGAAAAACACTTTTTATCGCCATGGAACTACGAGACAATTGTTACTCATTGCATGGGAAATCCCAATGGTACTCTTGATAAGCTTGAAGGCTCAAAGCTGACCAGTCTCAAGAGATGGATTATTTTAAGACCGGGCTGTTGGAACAGTTAATTAAGACTTCATTTGTGCTCTGAATTCAACTCGAACATTTTCCATAGCAACATAGCGTGGCTCTCATGAGTCAATGATAAAGCGTCCAGGAAACGAAAGGTCATGCCTTTCAGTCCATTAAGAAGATCTCAGAATCCTTCTTCCGAGCAGCTTCTGTCATTGACTAACATTGGTGTTATCATATTGCGATTTTAAACGCCCTATCATAAAAAAACAATGGACTAAGAGAAAGGAGCCTTGAGGTAGTGTATGGAAAAGTACTTTCTCCCGCCTCGCTCGTGCCATGACTTCGTGAGCCGGAAGCAGTCTTTCCTCGCGAGTATTGCTAACAATTTTGCTCACGGAGTTTTATTTCCGTTTTTATTTCTTGGAAAATAGTCGCTGAATTAGTCATCGAAGTGGCAAATAAGCGTACGATATATTCGTGAAAGTATAGAGACAATCGACTGGTTTAAGAAATATTTATTATGCATTGCAACATGATAGTCAACGTCAACGATTGCGATCATTTACAAAAAATAATCCTTGAAATGGTTTCTTAGATTTTAGCAATTATTTAATGCTTTAGCTGTAAACAGAGATAAAAACTCTGAAATAAGACCATCAAATTGTTTCGTATCAAGTGTTAGTCAGGCCTGCTTCGCGCTGGCGAACACATGATTGTTTTGAATTGGTTTTGACTATATTGCATTTTGATTGCATAAGAATATGCCTCATACGAACCTCTATATTTGATGGCAGATTCCTTCAGAGGGTCTTTCTCGTCGCCAGCTTAATAAAACGGATCTTTACTTATACTCATGCTGTTACCCACCAGTTATATTGAAATAAAATAATCTGATTATTTTATTATCGTGATACATCAGTTCTTGCAATACTCGTATCGCGAATTTTAATGTTGGTTGCTAGTACATTTAGTACAAAAACATCAACTTGATCTTCGAAAACTAAGACCGGTGGATTTCTTGATCATAAGCTTGTGAATGTGATTAATGAAACATGAAGTTGGATATAAAGTACTTTCTCGCTCTTCGCATTTGTGAGATGTAACGATTTTAATTTATCTCCGATACTCCCTCAGAAAAGAAACGTGCCCGCTTTGCATAAGTCAAACGGTACGAGACGCTTTTAAACGCTTTTAGATTTCAAGGTGTACTTCGTCTTGATTCAGCTAACTATTGTTTCGATCCAGGCGTGCGGGCATTAAACCGACCTGCGGGAAATTCTTAAGCGAGATAAACACTTTGTATAGATGTACCTTAAAGACTACTTAGCTGATTAATTCAATTGTAAAAAGGCGGAAAATGTTGATGTTAGTCAAATCTGAACGTAATTGGATGGGTCACTTGCATGATCAGCCGAGAAAGCCGTGATCGATCGATCGATCGATCGAGTTCCATCAACGATTATAAATTACAGGTGAGGGGGTTGCTCGTCGTACCTTTTAGATGTTAAAAAGCGTTTTTGTGTTTTTTTTTTCTCTCAGTGTTCAGCCTCAAAAGGTCCACAGCGGAAGCTTTCGCGGTACCTTTAGGGTATCCATTTGAACTGAAAAAAAAAAAATGACATGAGATATTTGACAATAAACTTTACGAGTACAAGGTATTCGAAGCAATGGTCTTTATCGCTATTAAAAATTTTGACAGCGTCAGTTTATGTGTTGTTTTAGATTTGTTACCTCTTAGGGGTAAAAATATCTTCAAGCCACGCCCACGAAACAGGATCTTGGTACCCCTTAGGGTATTTTTTTTTTTAAATTTGCGACGAACAATCCCGTCCTTTTTTTATGGGAGTCCACCCTGGGTCTATATTATACAACTCACTATAGACAAATTAGTCATCTTTGTCTTTTTCTGATTCATCATCTCCTGTATTGTTTGCATAACTTTCCTTTAGTCTGTTGATATACTCTTCGCGAGCCCTTTGACCAGACATGGTGATTGTTCTTTTGCGCTGCCTCTCAATTGTCGAATCTCCGTCGATACTTTCAAAGTCAGAGATGCTTTCTTCAGCACCAGTTCGTTTATCAGTGGATTTCGCTGNCGATGCAACGTCCTCGTTGAAAATGCTGATGAAATGTGGTGCTGACATTACAGACAAGGATTTCAAACAGAGAACGCCTCTACAGGTCTGTATTTAAAAACTAGCTCAGATGCAGAAAGCGATAATCTGATCACTTTTCACAAACATATGACAGGGATGAACACATAGTCGAAGCTCATTACAAATTTCGTTCTATAAGTACCTTACTCCCTAATCCGATGGGTCACAGTCCAGTTGCCTCGATACTCAATAGATTTTGAATGTAGCGCCAGTCCGAATGCAGCTGGAACTTGACTAGATGGGAGGAACCAAGACCAAGATTCGGAGGTGGAAACATCTGGTTTGGTACTTCTGTATGTCCATATGTTCATGAATTAACTATTGAGAATAGGGTATTAGAAAAACCTTACTTAAAATACTTAAAATACCTTAAAATACCTTAAATATGGTGCAAAAAGAAGAGAACAGTGGAATGCATATAGACTTGATTTCCCATTCACTTTAAGTTTGACATGGACAATCTGGTGCAGGCAAGGTCATGAAAACAGTTGAAGAGGAAAGAAATTCAAACTTATACCCTGATATGCGTGAAGAAAAAAAAGTCTTTATAATCTAATAATAAGCTAACAAGAAGGAAAAAAATTCGGCTAGGTGGCATGGCTTTCCAGAGCACCTTTAGGGAACCAGTCTTTAGAGCGATGCCTACTCATTAACCACGCATCATAGATAAATCGTTCAACTTATCTCCACAGGTTGCTGCGGAATTGGATCGTTCTGAGACTGCGGGGTTTCTGATTGATCGTTCAGCGGAAGCTGGTGTGGCTGACGACAGTGGAATGACAGCTCTTGTTATGATGATCAGCAAGATGCCAAGTGTGGTAAGTGGAGTTTATCTGTCAAGGGGTCATTGCGTTGTGTTCTTGGTTTGTAAATGAGCTGTTAAGACAACCCGAAAAAATGATGGGGGACATAAGATGACTGACACTAAACTGTACACTTAGCTGTTCGGGAAAAGAGCCCGCGGTCTCCTTGGGGAGGAACGTAGACCGCACTCGAGAGACTTATATTTATACCTTACCTCCATTGACAGTCAAGGCGCCTAACTATACGGACACAGAAACTGGGATGAACCTGTTTTTCATAATAGTTTTGTCCTCCACGGCAACAGCTGAAGTGTCCTTAGTAATATGTTGTTCATCATACTAGTTTTGTATCAGAGTCTAATAATACAGAGCCGGAGTTTACGTCTTTATGTCATTTTCAAATCGCTTATGCATAACTCGATATTAAGATTCTTGTTTTGTTTTTTCATTACAGGCCAAAGAAGCACTAAACCAGTTTTACTCCACTGACCGAGCAAACAGAAAACAATACTTCCACTTAAACTACCTTGAGCCCCCAGTGCCGACCTGCATGAGCAGCGGATGCGCCAAGACAGCACTGGAGGTCATTGTACAACTCAAGCAGTTCGATTTAATTATGCATCCAGTGATACAGAGACTCATCGCTGTCAAGTGGAATTATTTTGGGAAGCGAGGAGCCTGGATCCAAGTCTTAACAAACCTGTTTTTCGTGATAGTCTGGACTGTGCTAGGAATCACTTTACCAAATAACGCAGAAGAACTTTTTGATCCAATCGAGAAGAAATGGTGGAGACTGGTGCTGAGCATCATAGCGGTTTTGATGACGCTTAATGCTATCAGACAGGAAGTCATGGAATACTTCTCATCCAAAAGAGAACACAGGCTTTGGTTAAAATGGCGGGAAGAACAACTGAGGAGCGATCTGGAGTTCTGTCATCCGAGATGGCCTGGGGAGAGGTTGTACCTGATGCAGGAAATTGACTTGTTACAGCATCAAGAACCTTCTTATCTGAAAGACGCCTGGAACTTTGTCGACTGGCTGGCTTATTTCATGATTCTTGCGTCCATAGCAACGAAGTTGATAGCCTATTTCCATGGCGACCCACTGGCAATGATCACACATGTGAATGTTCTATCTGCAACACTAGTGGTGCTCTGGATTCGTCTCATGAAGTATGCGCGCGCATTTACCGCCCTGGGTCCCTTTGTAGTCATGCTCGGTCATGTGATCTACGATGTGCTCAAGTTCGGATTTCTGTTCTTTACATTTTACATTCCGTACGCGGCGTCATTTTGGATGGTGTTTAGTAGACATGAGGTCGAAGGTTACTCCTCCATTACTGACCTACTCTTCAGCATGTTTAGGATGACTGTTGTGGACGAGTATAATTATGATGGGCTCTCAAAAGCAAAGCCCATCATGGCTAAAGTACTTTGTGGTACGTACATTGCTTTCTCAGGTGTGATTTGCCTGAATCTGTTCATCGCTTTGATGTCTGACACCTTTCAAAGGGTTTACGACAATGTCAAGGCTAATGCCGTCATGCAGCAAGCCAGCACCATCCTGACTTTGGAGAAAAATCTGTCCGCTTCGAAACGGCGCGCGTTCACGAATTACATCTACACAAGGTGCAGCCCAGAGGAACTCTACTACGATGATGATTCGTCGGAGGGGGAGGAGAGAGATCTGCAAAGAATGACGCATCAAATAAAAGAGCAAGTTGATCACATTTCTGCGCACATAAGTGAACAAGAGAACGAGAGGAAAAGGAAAGGAAATGCTTCAACTAACGATATACACAAACTGCGTGAAGATTTGAAGAAATTGGAACAACAACAAAGAGCCTTAACAGCGCAGTTTCACAATCAGATAGGGGAAGTCAAAGACATGTTGGGTGATGTTATTCATACTCTAGGCAAACGAAAAAAGAAGAAACATTGAAAAACACTTTTTATCGCCATGGAACTACGAGACAATTGTTACTCATTGCATGGGAAATCCCAATGGTACTCTTGATAAGCTTGAAGGCTCAAAGCTGACCAGTCTCAAGAGATGGATTATTTTAAGACCGGGCTGTTGGAACAGTTAATTAAGACTTCATTTGTGCTCTGAATTCAACTCGAACATTTTCCATAGCAACATAGCGTGGCTCTCATGAGTCAATGATAAAGCGTCCAGGAAACGAAAGGTCATGCCTTTCAGTCCATTAAGAAGATCTCAGAATCCTTCTTCCGAGCAGCTTCTGTCATTGACTAACATTGGTGTTATCATATTGCGATTTTAAACGCCCTATCATAAAAAAACAATGGACTAAGAGAAAGGAGCCTTGAGGTAGTGTATGGAAAAGTACTTTCTCCCGCCTCGCTCGTGCCATGACTTCGTGAGCCGGAAGCAGTCTTTCCTCGCGAGTATTGCTAACAATTTTGCTCACGGAGTTTTATTTCCGTTTTTATTTCTTGGAAAATAGTCGCTGAATTAGTCATCGAAGTGGCAAATAAGCGTACGATATATTCGTGAAAGTATAGAGACAATCGACTGGTTTAAGAAATATTTATTATGCATTGCAACATGATAGTCAACGTCAACGATTGCGATCATTTACAAAAAATAATCCTTGAAATGGTTTCTTAGATTTTAGCAATTATTTAATGCTTTAGCTGTAAACAGAGATAAAAACTCTGAAATAAGACCATCAAATTGTTTCGTATCAAGTGTTAGTCAGGCCTGCTTCGCGCTGGCGAACACATGATTGTTTTGAATTGGTTTTGACTATATTGCATTTTGATTGCATAAGAATATGCCTCATACGAACCTCTATATTTGATGGCAGATTCCTTCAGAGGGTCTTTCTCGTCGCCAGCTTAATAAAACGGATCTTTACTTATACTCATGCTGTTACCCACCAGTTATATTGAAATAAAATAATCTGATTATTTTATTATCGTGATACATCAGTTCTTGCAATACTCGTATCGCGAATTTTAATGTTGGTTGCTAGTACATTTAGTACAAAAACATCAACTTGATCTTCGAAAACTAAGACCGGTGGATTTCTTGATCATAAGCTTGTGAATGTGATTAATGAAACATGAAGTTGGATATAAAGTACTTTCTCGCTCTTCGCATTTGTGAGATGTAACGATTTTAATTTATCTCCGATACTCCCTCAGAAAAGAAACGTGCCCGCTTTGCATAAGTCAAACGGTACGAGACGCTTTTAAACGCTTTTAGATTTCAAGGTGTACTTCGTCTTGATTCAGCTAACTATTGTTTCGATCCAGGCGTGCGGGCATTAAACCGACCTGCGGGAAATTCTTAAGCGAGATAAACACTTTGTATAGATGTACCTTAAAGACTACTTAGCTGATTAATTCAATTGTAAAAAGGCGGAAAATGTTGATGTTAGTCAAATCTGAACGTAATTGGATGGGTCACTTGCATGATCAGCCGAGAAAGCCGTGATCGATCGATCGATCGATCGAGTTCCATCAACGATTATAAATTACAGGTGAGGGGGTTGCTCGTCGTACCTTTTAGATGTTAAAAAGCGTTTTTGTGTTTTTTTTTTCTCTCAGTGTTCAGCCTCAAAAGGTCCACAGCGGAAGCTTTCGCGGTACCTTTAGGGTATCCATTTGAACTGAAAAAAAAAAATGACATGAGATATTTGACAATAAACTTTACGAGTACAAGGTATTCGAAGCAATGGTCTTTATCGCTATTAAAAATTTTGACAGCGTCAGTTTATGTGTTGTTTTAGATTTGTTACCTCTTAGGGGTAAAAATATCTTCAAGCCACGCCCACGAAACAGGATCTTGGTACCCCTTAGGGTATTTTTTTCTTTAAATTTGCGACGAACAATCCCGTCCTTTTTTTATGGGAGTCCACCCTGGGTCTATATTATACAACTCACTATAGACAAATTAGTCATCTTTGTCTTTTTCTGATTCATCATCTCCTGTATTGTTTGCATAACTTTCCTTTAGTCTGTTGATATACTCTTCGCGAGCCCTTTGACCAGACATGGTGATTGTTCTTTTGCGCTGCCTCTCAATTGTCGAATCTCCGTCGATACTTTCAAAGTCAGAGATGCTTTCTTCAGCACCAGTTCGTTTATCAGTGGATTTCGCTGCAACTTTCAACACTTCTCTGTTGGCCTCAACAATTAGAAACCCACCTAGGCTGCTCGATTTAGATTTGGGTCCCGAACTTGATTTTCTTTCTTTTTTCTCCTCTTTTTTCTCTTCTTCTTCCTTCCTTTTGTCTTCTTCTTCCTTCCTTCTGTCTTCTTCTACACTAACTATAAACGCCTCCAGCTCTTCGATTCGACCCGTTACGTGCTGTTCATACTGATCGTATTTTGAGTTAACTTCTTTGAATTCGATTTGTAACTCATCAAATCTTGCTCCGAAATTGCTCTCCAAGGCGCTGCTTCTCAATTTAGCCTCCGCCTCGAGATTTTCAAGACCTAAATCAATGCCTGTCGCAAGACTGCCAACCTTTTCCTCCAGGCTAGTCTTAAAATTGGTCACTTCTGTGTTTACATCAGTTATCGCTGTCATCTGATGTTTCCCATGCTGGACCAACTTTGCAATTTCTTCATAGATGATGGCATTAAGGCTTCCAATCTCTTCCAGGCGAACGTGAAAACGATCAAAGGATTTTTGCATATCAGTCTGAGAACGTTTCAAAAGATCGATATCTTCCAGCACTGTGTCAAACTCACTTTTCTGCACCTTTCCGAACTTCTTGCCACCGAGACGGTCGCTGACAATGTTGTGGACCAAAGAAATCTTTTCTTCCTGCTTCCTGTTCTGCTCTTCTTCATCGGATATGATGACCAGGTAGTCGTTTCCCTCCGGACTGCATCTGGTGCGGATGTGTTCCCTGTAGCGCGCCACCTTCTTGTCGGAGGCACCCGATTCTAGGTCTTGCAGAAGGCGCGCACGTTGCATGGCAGCCGTGGCACGTGCGTTGTCATAGACACGTTGGAACGTGTTTGACAGAAGCGCAATGTACAAGTTCATCAGAACAATTGCCGCGAGTATGAGAAAGGTTCCACACAGTACGCGTGACATAACCGGATACGCTTGCTCCAGGTCATCGAAGTTGTAGTTGTCCACCAGTGGGAAGCGAACGACTGTATAAACCAAGTGCCCTACGTTGTTGTAGCCTCTGACGCCAGGTTCACCAGAACGGTCGCTAAACAACATCCAGAATGCAGCGGCATAAGGGACGTAAAACATTGCTATGACAAAGCCCCATCTCAGCGTGTCCCCCACGATGTTATCGAGGATGACGACAAATGGACCTTGGCTAGGAAACGGTCTAGCAAACTTGAGAAGGCGGACCCAGACTACTATGATAGTGCAAGCAAAGATCCGCACGAAGATACCATTGTACACATCGCTCTGCACGACGACATTGATGATGTGGAGTATAATCACGATTATGAGCATTAGATATGCTACCCAGTCTAAATAATTCCACTTATCTTGAAAGTACGTCTTTTTATGATCTTTGATCTGACGAACCTGTCCCTTAACAAAAGTTCTTTCTTGAGTCCATCGTGGATGACAGAATTCCAAATCGCGCTTCATCTCCTTCTTCCTCCAACTTACGAACTTGCCGTTTTCTCGTCGGGACTGGTAAAATTCTTTGATCTCCTTCCTGATTTCGTTGAACGTCAAGAACACCACAGCAGCCTCTAAGGGTATTCTCCAGCCGTTCTTGTCGAGTGGATAATAATAACTTTTCACGTTTGAAGGATGCGTGACGCCTAGCACGGTGTAAGCAAGAGCAAGTAACACGTTCAGAAAAATCCCCAGCCACGCTCTCATTCCGAAGAATCTCCATTTCACTTCGATCAGGCGCTGGAATATCGGATGCATTATAAGCTCGTAGCAGCTCATTTCTACAACTGCTTGCAAAGGTGACGTGAAAATTGCGTGACGTTTGGTATCTGCATCACACTGTTCCAGGAAATTCAGATAATATCTCTGCTTGCGATGTGATCTGTCTGTGATATGGAACTGGTCCAGTGCTCGAAGTGCCTAAATTAAAATGGAACAAATTGTGTATTTATCAGTGAACGCGTGCGCAGTACAGTTCCAAGTTGTCGTTCCTTTGGCTGTAAATGATCAGCGCAAGAGACTATGTTCCGTGCCATGAAAAAATGAGAGAAAAAGGACTGCAACTCTTAATTTGAGCGAAGTATAAAAACACGAAAGCGCACAAAGTGAAATAACTTAATACCTGTAATTAAAGTTGTTTTTGTTGTTATGATGATTAACTGATGTCAGGAGCCCACGACCCAAAGCCTCAAGAGTATGATATCTTTGAAGGCTCCGGGTCATGGGCTTCTGTTGAAAGCAGACGATTTCGTGAACATGCACAGAGTGCTTACTCTCGTTTGTCAGCCAATCAGCATTTAGCTGAAACGACTGGAAGTCCGTGAACCGGAAACTTTCAATTCTGCAAAGACCGTAAGTCAAAACAAGTTTGATAACAAGCAAACTGCCACCCACTCACTAGTTGTTATTTAGTTAGCTTTAGTTTCATAATGGTACATAGTTGAGTCCAATTTCCGTTTGCTTACTTAATTCTCACTCACCACACTAGGCATTTTTGTTACCATCAGCGTAAGCGCTGTCAATCCGCTGTCATCTCTTGTCCCAGCAGAAGCGCCCGCTTCCAGCAAAATCCTGGCGCACTCGGCGCTGTTACTTTCAGCTGCGATCTGTAAAGAAACCGAAAGGTTATTGTGGTACGTTTGCTGCTTTACCTGACGCTTTTTCAACTTCCCTCTGTAAATGAGGTAGCCAACGCACTCAAATTTTCCAACACAAGTGTCTTTTTTATTGTTATGCTTTCTGTGGTTCCCACGTACATCGCTGAAATGCTTATCGAATTAGCAAATAACGCATCTTTTAGACACAAAGTCAAGAAAGATTTTATGATAAGTAATAAGTGTTATCAACTTAGGTAAAGGTTGGCGAACCTGACAATTTTTGAATATTATAGCGGAACGTCATTAACTAATCGTTTTTAATCATCCACCGTCACCCTGCTCCCATTAAAATCACTCCTGTTGCTACGCAAACTACACTGTTCCTGTGTAATTATCAGTTATATTCGCCCACTGGCGCCCATTTCGGAACATGAGCTCAGGGGCGTTGTTGGCCAATTTGGACGGAAACTAGCGAATGAAATTTGTCATAATTAATTTTTTGTCGCCGTATTCATATATCCTTTGACGAGCTCTTTATTTGTTTCCTCCGTCTCACATCGCTCGTCACGTTTCTTTCATTCATGGAAACTTATTCAGTTGACCATCTCAAAAAAACTGAAAAAATCCACCCTTTAACTTACTTGTAGCGGTGTACGCTGCTTGTAGTCTCGAACCTCAAGCACTGCTCCATAGGCAAGGAGAATCTTAACGCACTGCGATGCTTCATTTTTCGCAGCGAAGTGTAGTGGTGTCTGTATCTCTCCCTTGGTCGTCAAGTCAAAGTTTGCGTCATTATCAATAAGGAACCTGACCATCTCTGGGTAATCAGCAGAGGCAGCCACGTGTAACGGTGTTCGACCATAATTATCTGCTTTGTTGATGTCTGCACCTAGACGACCAAAGAGTCAAAACAACTTAAGCTCTCTTAACCCTGCGGGAAAACAAATCTCCTTTTTTAAAATAATTACAAAACAATCGGTGTCACATAAAAAGAGTACTGCTTTTAGCCTTATTTCACTTAGTTAAATTTAATTTTAACTTTAATTTCAAAATATTTAGTTCGACATAAGGCTCTCTAGGAAGGGAGCAAAGTCTTCGTTTTCCATCTGGAGTTCTGTGAAATGAACGGCAACTTGTGAGCTGAATTATGGCAGGTCAAAAACCCGATTTTTTAATGAGATTTTTTTGTACTCATCTTCTGAAAAGGTTACGCTATCGTCGAGGGGGTGAAAAGTTACAGGTCTTGAACATTACTTGGCTGATTATGATTTGTTTGATAATGAGAATTCCCGGGGTAATAAAGATGTCTGTTGGTCAACTGATGCCATGAAGTCATCAAATTATCCTGACTAGTACTATGTGAATGTTCTGGAACCAGTACGGAAACCTAAGAAGATTTCAGTAGCAAAAGGTCTGGATAGTAGCAGACATGTTGACATTTTGAGAAACAACACCACGTTTTTTAAAAACGTGTCTTAATAGAATCTTCTGCCATCTTCAGTTTAAGATGACAGAAGATTCCGTTGAAACATGTTTTTGAAAAACGTTGTGTTGTTTCTCAAAATGCCAGTAGGAAATGAAAAGGGCAGGTTGACTGAATGGCTTACCTTGATTGACGAAAAACTGTGCAACATCTGTCCCCCAAGTTCTGGAAACTTCATGGAGCAACGTTTGACCAAACCGATCACTCGTGTTCACGGAAGCCCCTGCATGTAACAAGGATTTAATATGCTCCAGGTCCAACGAATCGTCGACATCAGGAGAGCTAGACAGCTTGGCGAAGTACACCAGTAAGGCCTGGTTAGGGTCCTCGGGCTTTTTGATCCCATCTGGTCGGTTTAAGTCGTTTAACTTGCTTAGATGCCCACTGCCTTCTTCTCCGTTTTCGCTTGGTTCTTTTGCCCCGCCTTCTCCTTCGTTCTCTTCACTCACTTCACAAGCAAGTTCCAAAATAGCCTCATAAGGTACTGAATTCTCCTTTCTAGTCATCGCATTAGCGTCTCTTGCGGATGCATTGATCTCTTGAAGCATTTTCTCACAGTTAGCTAGATTGCTATTTCGTCTTTTCATCCAGGCATTTGGTGAGTGGGGTCGACTTCGGCTTTCATTTTCACTTTGCGGTGATAAAGTATTTCGATCTTGGCACAAGGAGGCGTTAGGTGGTGTGAATTGATGGAGAAACTCAACAGTAGAAAATTGTGAAGGCAAGCCGCTCGCCAAGCCATTTGGAACAGTTAGGGGTTCTTGTAAATTGTTTCCCTCCCCTTCTTGCTTGTCTTCTAGTGTGTCTTCGTCCTCTACAGGAGCAACTCTTTTTCCGCGACTAACCATTTTTGCCACCTGTTTATGCTGGAACGTGTTTCCACTCATAAGCTGATACTCGCTGTTAAAAACACAGCACTGAAGTCATGGCGTGATGTTTTCACTTGAGAGAAGACCGATAAAAGGAATCAATGCTTACCAGGCGGAACATGCATTAAGTTAGTTCTTGCTAAGTCATAACTATAAACAACACTTGTTCGATCTTATTCTACGTAATAGCGTTAATGACGAAGGCATACAAAGAACATCCTGTTCATCTTGAACAGTTAACATGGTTACTGACTCACAGGGCTTTGTTCAACCTTGCTCAATATCACAATGATGCCAGTGCAGTTAATGAACTCACGTGACTTACTCAGATGCTAACTGACATTGCAAATATATATCTGTATATTTTAATTATGATTAATTAGTCAACGTGAACTCAATTTTAAAAATTTTCCTTGACGTAGAAAAACATGGGATACCGTCTAGCACCCAGGTCGTACATCCTTAAGGGTGAAATGCTTATGTCATTATGTCGAAGTTAGAGTTGTCGTTAGATTAAGCACTTTACAAGGAGCTCAGTTATTCACGACAACAACAGCAAAGCCAATACTCAACGACTTAGTCAAGCATAGATGCTTTGAATCGCCAATTTGCAGCTGTTCTATTTGTTAACAGCGTTAATCGAAACACAAAGAGCTGCAAAGCGTTACCTGATTAAAACAGAAAGATTAGCAAGTGTACCCCACATCTTAAAATATCAACCACTTCCTGAACAGAAGTGGAATTGGACGTTTTTCGTTAAACGCTGATCAAGTGGAGTTCATTCGTAACCATTTGTCAAAGTTTCACCTGACATTTGAAATTAAACTTACGGTTTGTATAGTTGAAACGATATTTGACACAGTAGTTCTATATCGAGTTTACTTTGGAAACACCGCGCTGTGGTGTCATTGACGTCACGTATTTTTCTTTTTCAAAATCGATACTTAAATACAGTGACCTGTTTCAGATCGTGAAAAGGAAATGTTTTTTAGTAGAATCAATGGAGCATTTAATTAATCTGTTTCCGCCCCGGCCGTACGTCAATCGACATTTATAGAGCGCTAACAACGATTTATCCGACTCGTGTTGTTTAGCACTGTTTTGCATTGCACTCTGAAGTGTTTTCTATCACTAAGGAAAAAACTGTGTGTCAAGAAAGCGTGTAATTTAGCAGAGTAAACGATAATGCTACCTATAAGGTGCCCCTTCAAAGTACAAAAACTGGGTGTGACGGTCCTAACGTAGCCATTTTGTGAGAATGGTAACACATTACGAGCTGAGTGCGATGTACCCCCAGAGAGCAGACATATCCCCATGCGTTCCTCTTTTTCCACTTGTGGTATTAATCCAATTGCTTCATGGTCTTACACCTGTCGACTTGCACCTTCACGACTGTACAAAGCCATTGGTGTAAATGAAAAAAACAAAACAAAACAGAACAAAAAAAAACAAGGAATTGACAACTCAATATCCACTGATATTGCTGAACTACCCGCTCCACAAGTTTTGAAGCTATACATAACAAGGACTAACAAGGATTTTTGTCCTATATGTTGATTTTACCATTTGTATTGCACTGTCTAGTTTTCTATATCACTCAGATCACTAAGGAAAAAAAACCGATGCTGCCAATAAAACGCGTTCATGGAGAAAATACTGAACACTGTATTTTCGGACTGAAAGAAAAAAACCAACAACAAACGAGCAAAGGGATGATTTTTAAATCTAAATAATTTAGTTTTGACTCTAAATTCGAACGACCGACCGATTTTAAAGATTTTAACTTTAACGCCCTGTCGGCTTCGACAACCCGCCACAGACATAGTGACTTTATATACAATTAGTTTTTAGTTAGTTTATTG